CTTCATACTAGTAAGCATGAGGGCACTACAAAAAAGCTGCCCTTAAAATAAAAAGGATGCATCCACAAGAGGACTGCAAATTTGACTGCTTTGCAAAAACTTGCTTAGTTTGCTTATTCTGTGGAACGGTATTCTATTAAAATGTAAAAAGTTTGGTAGCACCTGTTCTGTGCTCAATTGTGGCTTTGAAAGGGGAAGTGGTATGATGGACTACAGTGAAACAGCAGTTTCCCAGGGAAGAGGAAGCACATTTCAAGGACAGGGGCAAGACAAGAGACAACACAGCCTGGACTTGGATCAGAAAAAAAATGGAAGAGATTTGGGATACTCTTAGAATCTCTCAGTTAGAGTTTAGAGCAGTGTAGACAAGATTCTCTCTATAGCAAATAAAGACCTGAACTTTGGCAGGATTGTTCTATGTCAATTCTTGGCGTGGGCCTGACATTTTCCTACTATCTAAAATTTGTTAGTCAAAAAAGGTACCAACAGACTCCTGATTTTTTTGCCACCATAGGTACACATTTCTCTTATATTTTTATTATAACATTTTGTAAATGACAGCAGATCTCAGGATGGTAGTAATAAGTGACAACCGCTAATGGGAATGTGTAAACAGGATTGGAAATTTAACTGGAGGCTAAGGAAGGGAATATTGTACTCTGAACAAGCTCTTTACTAAGAAATGTAATGGATTTCACTTTTCTGCACAACTCCATATATTACTATGATGAATCCTAATTCTAAATTATTTTACTACTGTCAATAATTCTCACCAATAAATACATGTTAAAATGTAGAAATATACAGAAAAGAACTTGTCAAACTTAATTATGTCTTTTTATTTTTGTGGAATTTAAAGGGCAAACTGTTCTGTCTTTTGTCCCTAAAATATAAGAAGTATACTGGTACTGATTATTAAGGATAGATGGGGAGAAGTGTTCTATAGGCTAAAAAAATGGATCTGGATTGTGGCTGCTAAAGTAGTTTGTTCCTAGGAGAGGCTCACAAAAATTTTTCCTTGCTTGAATACTTGAAATATAGATTCCATCTTTAAAAAAATGTCATTTAGCAGGGCCTAGAAGGCTTTTCTACCAGTGTGTTCCCTCAGGAACATCCTGCCCTTCCAAGATCCAGTTTGGCCCTAACACTGCTGGCATTTCATAAAAGCTTTTAAAACATCGCTATGGTGTTGGAAGATTATCTTGATCTGTGAGATTGATGTCATCTGCTGATTTACGTTTTCTTTAGTTGTCATTAGGTATAGATCCCATTGTTCAGTAACCCTATATTAGTCACCCAAGGTTACTATTTTGAAATTAGTAACCATATAAATTGATTCAAATAATTAATTTATAAATAATTGCTTTTAATTTATAGGATATTTTATTGAAAAGACCATGTTCTGCTATACAATTTATTTTTCTGACTGCCAATGTGATTGTGTCACATTGTTTCAATTTTTTTAAAGTTACTTTAAACCACCCATAATTATATGTATCCATAATGATATATATACCACCCATGTATACTGTACATAATATATGCTTACAACTGTCAGTCCCAGCAATAACCCCATACCTATATATGCAGTATATCATTCACCTGTAATCAATAAGAATATTCCTTAAGTACATATTAGAATATGTTTTGATAAATCCAAAATTTAGTTTTTTTAAGCAACTCCCATTTAAAGATGGGAAATATGCTAAATAACTAATATACCTGTGTTTAGGCAGATGTAAAGATACTTTTTGCAGTTTCATTAATTATTTTTTGTACAAGTGCTACATTACTGGGTAATTTTTAATCCAATAGTTAGTTTTATGGTTATAATGTAAGTTATTAAAAGATAGTACAAGAAATAAAAAACATATACAATCATATATGAAATCACTATCCCAATATAATGAAGGCATTTAAAATTAAAACCAGGTTGTCAAATGTTTTTTAAGTTATATTTATTAAATATTGTAGTTACAGTAGTAAACGCAAATACAAATTAAACTCAGAAAAATGAAAGTATAAAAATGCAAAGAAAGATTTTAAAAATCTGTAAAGTGACTTCCAATCTTTTATCAAAAGTAAAAACAACTTTGATAACTCTTTATCCCCTGTAAGATTACAAACAAGTATCTCATGTTCCCATAATCCATCTCTTAGCTATATGTAAATCCATGAATTATCAACTTTTCAGTCCTGATGTTAGCAAACTAACTTTGTATTCCTTCCTTTCATTTCTAACAATCTTATTCTTTAATTCATTCAGAACCCTAACCCTAACCCTAACCCTAAGGTATGGACCTTAATTTGTTTATACCTTTCTTATATCAAACTTATTTAACCTTTTGCTGTTTATTTCCAATTCTTTAATTTTATAGTAAAAAAAATTTTTTTCAGTAAAAAAATATTCAAGGGGGAAAATAAACTCACCAGTGGTTTCCCAAACTTTTCACTTTGAATATAACTACTAGCCTTAAAATAGTAAATATGCAATAATTGAAAATGATTAGAAAGTAAGGATAATGAACTCAGTGTCCTTTAAAAGCTCTACCACAGTTGTGAGCAAGATGGCCGATTCCTTCATTTCCTGGCTTTTAGTCCCATGGGAGACCGCTATCCTGCAGTCTCCTCACAAGGAGCAACCATCCAAAGCACATGTAGGTGATTTATCCCACGGGTGTCAAACTCAATCGTGTCACATGACGTATTGAAATGTTTTTTGCCTTTGCGGAGCTGGGGTGGGCATAGCCTGCACATGACACATCTGGCCCATGGGCCACCAGTTTGACAGCCCTGTCCTATCATATCCTTATCCAGAGAAGCTCCAAAGAATCTTTGTCAGTTCTTCAGTCTTCATCTCTATTCTGTCATGACTCCACCTGAAGTCTCAGATTATCAAATTTTATACTGCCTAGGAAAAGAATGACTTAGACAGATGCTGGAAATGCAATACAGATACAATATACATCTTCCCAGGGAGACATTCTACACTTATAGAGTCCTCTCTAATGCATTACCTTTTCTCTGTATGCATATCTGCTGCTATACAATGTACAGGATGAAAAGTGAGATAAAGTTTTGTCATCTCTATCTTGATGACAACTCAGTTCACATTACCTCATAGCAGCTTCATTAAATGTTAAATGGGATACAACTGAGCCATGAATACTGCCCAAAAGCAAAAAATCTTCATCTATTTATACTAAAACTCTCCTATAACCTTCAACTGGACAAAACCATGCATCATAGGACAACAATTTTGGAACTAAGGTATCTCAATCAAGTAGGATAACTTAAAAATGCATCCAAAATCCACCTGTTGTTCCAAGTGGGATTGAAATTTCAAGGATCTTCACATCATTTGTATTGGCAAAGTTGTGGCCACTGGATCATCACTGTGCTACCAGAGTCAGCCACAGTCATGTAATTGCGATTTCTGATGCTCGTGCCAACATCCCACAAGCAAAGTCAATGGGGAAGCTGGCAGGAAGTTGGAATTCATTCCACTTTCATTGCTTTTTGGCCTGCCCATGACTATTCTATTAGATAAGGAAGTCTCACTGAAATGACTCAATGGGCTATGGTTTCTCTAGTCTTTATTTCTAGAAACAACCAGCCAAATCACTGGATACAATATATGCAATGCAACAGCTGGCTCAGAAAGATACAATCCAATGCCCTCAAAGTCAAAGAGAACAGAATTGCATTCCTAATTCTCCCTCAGTAAAATCATCACATACAGTAGAAATCAAAGCAGATTCTCTCCCGTATCAGACCTAAAGCCAGACTTTAAATTGACACAGCTATCTCTGCGGGGTATAGGAACCAGCCAGCCCTCTCTTTCCTATTAAATGTAAACAAGCTATTGGTGAGCAGCTGGCCTACTTTCACCAATTCCTCCTGCCAGCCACCAGAATTCAGACTTCCCCAAAATATATCTACACAAGAGATAGTTTTATATCCTGGAACTGATAGCAAAGAAAAATTCTCTCCAACACTCCCCCCCTTCCCCCCATATTAAAAGAGCCTTTGTTCCTTTGAAAACCAGCAGAAATCTAGGAAAATGAACCCCAAAAATGGGAATAGAAGCTGGGAAAAGAAACAGGGTACCCTCAGAATTAACTGAATGAATCTTCAAAAACCTGGAAGGAGTAATGAAAGAGACTGAGAGGATTATATATATATAAAAAAAGGCTATTTTTAAAGGGATAACCAAAATTTAGCATTGGTTTTTAGTTTCTTCTCATTACTATTTCTGGCATTTATAATAACTGTACACAGTAAATTGTGTGATTTATTCAGCTTAGTACCTATAGCAGAACTCCTCTAAATTAGGGACAGGCCAACATTTTTTTTCGGCCTAAAAGTTTATGTTCAGTTTTCAGCTGTGATATTAGGAGAATTTTATAATTCTTCCAATATTGTTTTTGCTGTAACTACTAAAGATAAAAAGGCATGTTTACACTTCTTTCTTAAGAATGATTTTAATTATCTCTTGTGAAATTCACCTAACTTCCAGAGAAGGGGGAAACATACTTTTCTTAACACTTGAGCCAGGAAATCATGTTACAAAATTGATTTTATTTTTTAATCAGCCTTCTTTTGCCTGGCAATTAGTTACATAGGTTGTTCGATCTGTCACATATCAGGATTAAGGAGGGTACCCTTAACTGATTTGAAGGGGAAATGATTGAATACTTGGAAGACAGATTGCCTCAACAACAACTGTATCTTTGCTGAATCTGTCCAAGAATTCTGCACCCTTGGATAATAATGGAATGAACAACATTCAGTAACATAATGACACTAAATGTGGAGGTCATGTTTAATGCAAGCGATGGCAAATTCTGGCAAGTTCAAATATTTTTCAAGATTAGCTGTCAGCTAGGTGAAACTGTATGGGGGGGGGGACCTTTCTTGCTTATCTCCTGAGAGCTGTATTTTTAAAATCACATTCACTAACACCATGGTTAATATTTTTTTAAGAAACACAGAGCACATGTGTCAATTACATTTATTTAATACAAATACATAAAACAAGGTTTGAATACAGATTTCCTGATTTATTGCCATCAAGGACAAAATATTCCTGACTTAATGTCAAGCCACAAAGTAATCCATCTATAGACTGAGAAATTCAGAACAAGGAAACAGAGCAAAGATAGCACTTGTCATGACGAAAACACTATTGATAATACAATTCCAGGTTCATGCCATCATGGATTTCATCTGAAAGTAAGGAGTTAAGGTTAATTTTCACAAGAAAATATTAACAAGTACTAATTATAAATAGGCTTAGCCTTTGAAAATATCACGTCAAAGTGACCATCCTTTGGAAATAATGCTGTTCAGATATAAGCAAAAGTATATATTTATAATATGACCATATATATTTGTATAATGCCCCAAATATCTTTTTTTCCAGTTATGCAGAGATTTAAAGCCCAATTCTATTTTCTTGAGACAAAGAATGGTAGTGCGCTTGTCAATTACTATCAAGATCTACAATTTCCATTTCTTTCAAAGCTCAAGTTGACAGAGAAACAGAATAGTGTGGGGATCAAGCAACAGGGTACACAATTCCTAAAAATGACCCCCAAAAAAGACATATGGAATACTTCAAACAATTTCTGTCTTAAAGGCAGAACTGGAAAGATTCATATTGCTGAGGATTCTGGGCTCATAAAGGAAACATACTGAATGGAAAAAGCTTGGGAAATATAGAAGTTAAGAAAGCCTTAATTATCAATTTGAACTGTTAAGTACAAAGCTTCATGCCATATCCCACTTTGAACATTTTAGAAGTTGTTTATGTTTGGAAGAGAGCTGTTCCACGTATGTTTTTAAAAAAACCTTATTTGCAAAATTTAGCGCTCAAAACAGTTCAGCGTATCTTTAATTTTGAGACTGAAACATTCTAATCTTAAAATAGGCTGCTCTGTATATCCCAAAAGTGGTTCAACCTCAGAACAAAGATAAAACTGTCAATTTGCAGAACACTTTCAATAGACTTGAAATGGAAATGTTTTGACAATTGAACAAGACATTCTGAGGTTGGAATATTTCAACATCAAAACATTATTTGGAAAACATAGATCCTACATATATGCATGTTAAAATGTCTGAAATATCTAAAAGGGGATACAATCAATTAAGATCATGTTTTTAAATATGTGCAGGATAATGAATTAGTATTTGACTAAAACTTAAATGCCTCCCCAAAAAATAACAAGCCACGCAAGTAAGAGAGAGATACTTTTAAAGAAATTTTAAAATGTCACATTTTCTTTCTCTAGTCATCTGACCATTTTCTTCCTTACTGTCAAACTTTTAAAGGATACAGTCTGCCAGCATCACATGGTCCTTGAAAATTGTATACCTATAATATATATAAAAATATAAAAATAATAGTTGCAGCTTTTACACAGTTCAGTAAAAATAAGTCAATAATTATCACAATCAATACAATCAGGCCTCGACTTATGACCCTAATGGAACCTGCCTACTACGGTCATAAGTTGTGATCATCATAAAACAGACCTGATTTTATGACTTTTTTCATAGTGGCAATTCATTCATGTGATCATGGGGGAGGGGGGAGAACCACCACAACATCATATCTTGGTCATATGTAAATAAGTTAAGTTCATCATAACTTTGAGCAGCCAGTAAGTGACTGGTCATAAATTGAAGACTGCCCATATAAACAATCACAACAATAAAATGAAGGGCCAATCAGCATTAAAGAGCTGACATTGTGGGGACCATCACAAATTTGTTTGTTCCAAAGTAAAAGAACTCATTCATTAAATTGTATCAACTTAAATACTTATACAGATTATCAATCTGCTGCTAGTCACAATTCAAGGTTTCTCTTTCAAGCATGAATCTCATTTTGTTACAATTTATTCCATTTTCATCAATTACAGACTGCAGTGGCTTCTTCCTAAACTATGAGATACAGATAGTCCTTGACCTTCAATTGTAATGGAGTCATTAAGCCATGCATCATATTATTTTGTTGCTTAACAACTCTGTCCATGCTTTTCCTGATGTGGTCAGTAAGTGGAACAGGGTAATGGAAGCCCAGGAGACCTAGAACAGGCCCAGCTCACAAGTGGCCTGCCCTGAGCTTTCTCCACCCCAAGGCGCCCCATGCTCAGTTTCTTGTCTCTCTGGGTCTCCTAACCTTTGGCCTGCTTTCTTGCTCCACCAGTCCCCACAGGCCTTTGGCTTGCTTCCCATCCTGCTGGGTCCCATATCCTTTTTCCCACGTCCCGTCACTGATCAGTCACTTGCCTTTTACTGTAGATCTTCTAGAAGCAGTTTATTTATTTATTTATTTATTATCAAATTTATAGACCGCCCTTCTCCCGAAGGACTCAGGGCCGTGTACAGCCAAAGTAAAAAACATAGATACAAACATTAAAAACAATTTAAAAAGATATATATAAATTTGGCCCCAAAGTTAAAAAACAGTAACAAAACATATTAAAAACATTTTAAAAGCATTAAGCCAGCCCGGCTTGCTGAAAAATTTAATTTAATTTAATTTCCAATTTATATATCGCCCTTCTCCCTGAGGACTCAGGGCGGTGTACAGCCAAGATAAAAACATAGAATACAAATATTAAAAAACAGTTAAAAATATATATAAATTTTGGCCCGAAAGTTAAGAAATCACAGACTGATTAAAAGAATTTAAAAATTTCTTCTTAAGCCAACCCGGCTTGCTGGAAAAGATGGGTTTTAAGGGAACGACGGAAGGCATTGAGGTCATGGATTCTCCTTATCTCAGGGGGCAACTGATTCCAGAGGGTAGGAGCCCCCACAGAGAAGGCCCTCCCCCTGGGGGTCACCAGCCTACATTGTTTGGCTGATGGCACCCTGAGGAGGCCCTCTCTGTGGGAGCACACAGGTCGATGGGAGGTCGTCGGTAGCAGCAGGCAGTCTCGCAGATAGCTAGGCCCTATGCCATGGAGCGCTTTAAAGGTGATAATCAACACCTTGAAGCGCACCCGGAAGACCACCGGGAGCCAGTGCAGCTCGCACAGGAGCGGTGTTACATGGGAGCGCCATGTTGCTCCCATCACTACCCACGCTGCTGCATTCTGGACCAGTTGGAGCCTCCAGGTGCTCTTCAAGGGGAGCCCCATGTAGAGAGCATGGAAAGGAAAGTTCAGTGTGGCCTTTCTACGCAGTGGAAGCCACATGGCTCCATCTCAGAAGCGGACACCATTTTGGAACAGCCCCAATTAAGTGCAGCTGTTCCAAAATAGGTGCCCATTTCCAGGACAAAGCCATTTGGCCTCCACTGTATAGGAAAGCCGCACAGCACAATAGCTACTTCGAGAAGATCTACAGCAGGGATGTCAAACTCGATTTCATTGAGGGCTGCATAAGGGTTGTGTTTGACCTTGGGGGCCTGGATGGGCATGGCCAAGTGCTAAGGCAGGATTTCCCTCAGACTTTCCTTCCCTCTCATAATCCTCCTTCCTTCCTTCCTTCCCTCTTCCTTCTCCTTTCTCCTTCCTTCCCCTCTTTCTTTATTTTTCCTTCCCTGCTCTCTTCCCATCTTCTTCTTTGTCTTTCCCTTTCTCCTTTCCTGTCCCTTCTTGGATACTCAAATGCAAAAGGGGAAACATTTCTCCCTTTGTTTTCTTTCGCTTTTAGTTTGTTTTGCTAGCCCTCTGCCAGTGAAAACGGAGCCCAAGGGGGTTGCACATGCCCCACCAGACCCCATTTTTGGCCGCAACAGCCTCCTGCAGCTCCCTGCCAGCAAAAACGGACCTCTGTGGGGCTGCACACACACACCCGGACCCCGTTTTTGGCCTTCTGCAGCCCTCTACCAGTGAAAAGAGAGCTCAGGGGGCTCCATTTTTGCTGGCAGAGGGCTGTATGAGGCCGTCACAGCTAAGAACAGGGCCTGGGAGGGCCATGCACAGTCTTCCCAAGCTTCGATTTTGCTGGCAGAGGCACAGCAGGCTGCTCCTTTGCTATTTCCAGGGCAGCTCTGCAGGCCAGATGTGGCTTGCAGGCCGTGAGTTTCACACCGCTGATCTACAGCAAAAGAAACATCACTAATTGCTGTCAGGAGTATAGAGAAAGGTGAGACTCAGCAGGCTGGGAAGTAGACCCAAGGCTTGCAAGGGACCCTGTGGGGAAGGAGGGAGATAAGATATGTGATGGGGCACTGCAGCATCCCTGCAATCAGTTGTAATGGCAGGCAGATTGCCAAGTGCCAGAATTTTGTTCATGTGACTACAGAGGGCTGCAGCAGCCATAACTTCAAAACCAGGCTGTAAGTAGTTTTGGGGAGGTCAATCAGAATTTTGAAAGGTTGCTAAGCAACCAGTCATAAGTAAATGGCAGTGGTAAGTAAATTTCTTTGAAATGAATTTGAGACATTTTTTCTCTTCCTTTTAAAGTAGAGAAACTTCTCTTTGTTATGACTAAATTGTGTAATGAAATTATCAGCAGAAAATATCATTGGAAATCTTAGTGTTCTCTTTTGTCATTGTTGGTTGATCGCTACCCAGGTTTTAAGCTATACATTCAGAGCCAGTGTGGAGTAGAGCTTAAGGTACAGGCCTAGAAAACAGGAGCTGTAGTCCTGCCTTAGGCATAAAAAAACCAGATGAAGTGACTTTGGGGCAGTAACTCTTTTTTATCCCAACTAATCTCAAAGTTGTTGTTGTAGGGAAAATAAGAGGCAGAAGAGTTATGTATCTTTGTTGCTGTAAGTTATGCATAAAAAGGTATATGTCAAAATCACTGTTAATTGCGAAAAGGAACTTTACTTGGAACAGCTTACATTTCTGCAACAACAATTTTTAACACCATGGGACAACAATATCTACCATCAGATCTTTGGAAAGGATTTGATGGGTAGGTAAAGATGCCAAATCTAATCTGACTGACTGATCACCTGAGGAGTTATATTCAAAGCATGTTATGAGTAAGTTGGAGAGCCTACTTACCACTTCTTCAGAACAATCTTGTCCCAGCGAGTACCAGTCTGGGCAGCAATAAGCTTCTTAAGATCCCTGATGCAATCATCAGTGCTGAGCAGTAATATTGGTTAAAGAAATGAATGAGAAAATAGGGCCTAGTATATCGTAAGTACTAAATAAGCTATTTGTTATGCACAATTTATCAAAAACAATTGAATCTCTTGTACAGTGTGAAATGGGAGATGGATGCAGATATACTGTACATTACTCACATACAAACAGATGACCAAAGGACTATTGTTTGCATTTTCAAATCTATGCACAAATATATCTGCATGTATTGATTATAAACGGTCCCTGGATTAAGAAAATCCAATAAGGACAACCCCTAAATGTGAACCTATTATTAAAAATGGTGGATAGCATTCTCCTTCCTTGAGCTGACAAAGCACTGAAGCTACACAATGGTTTCAGCAACTGCTTAAGCAAAATATTTTTAATACAGGTAGTTCTCAATTTATGACCATAATAAAGCCTGCAATTCTGTTCATGTGATAGTTGTTAAATGGCTCATCACATGAGCACACCTGATTTTATGACCTTTTTTGCAGAGTTATTAAGCAAACCCATTGTTTGCTACGAGGTATTTTTCACTAGAAACTGGAAGTTAATACCAGTTTCCACCAAAAACTTTATAAATTGTGGTCATGTGACCACAAGATGCTGCAAACAGCCATAAATGTGGGCCAGATGCCAAGCATCCAAACTGTTGTCATGTAACTGTGGGGGGATGGCTGTTGAACCTTGAATGCAGGTCATAAGAACCTTTTTCAGAGTTCATTGCAAATTTGAATGGTTGCTAAGCGATCGATCAGTCACCCAAAGAAAGAGCAATCATGAAGAATTCTTCACTCTCCCTCAATTTCCCATGCTACTAGCACAACAAAATTTTCATCTCCAAATTGGAGATTCCTGTAGATTCCTAAGATTCCCATCTGATAATGTGGTTATGAAGTGAAAATGATTTCAAAGCAACAGATCCCCATTATCTGGGTTTGTCTGGGGAAAAACAGTGGCTATAAAAAAGACTACACACCCCCTGCTCAAATGCCAGGTTTTTGAGATGTAAAAAAATCAGACCAAGATGAATCTTTAGGGGGAAACAACAAAATTTACAATAACTTGGTTGTGTTTTTTACATCCACTGTATGTATAACATCAGAGAGAAGCAAAAAAACATCTATTTAAGCCACATTCGCACTCAACTTAATGGTACCCATAATAAATAATTTCAATCTAGAATCCCTTTCTTGCAATTTTACAGCCCAAAAGATCAGATAAAAGGGAAATAACTGCTATCCCAAAACGGTTTCTTTGGTTTAGGATACTTGCACTTCACTCTAACTTTCTTGCCCAGCCGATCGTTGCAAACTACTTCAATCATCTTGATCACGGCTTCACGTTCGGCTCTGCTAGAGAGCTAAACAAAATAATCAGTGTCAAAAAGAAAAATAAGTAATCCGGCAGTCTGATGTAAACACCGAATATAGTTAAAAGCCTATTTTAAGCGTAGGAAAGGGAGTTCTTCAGCTTAATGGCCGCTGGTAGATGTGTTAACTTCAACTCCCAGAATTCCCCACCATCTTCAAGCAGTCAAGGTTAATAAACTCTGCTAAATACGGAATACTGTATCCATCTCGAAACTCGCCTTTTGCAAATGCGCTAGAGCAGAGAGGTCTTCAAACTTGGCAGCTTTAAGACTTGTGGACTTCAACTCCCAGAATTCTCCAGCCAGCATAGCTGGCTGGAGAATTCTGGGAGTTGAAGTCCACAAGTCTTAAAGCTGCCAAGTCTGAAGACCTCTGCGCTACCGGTAGAGTTTTGCCAAGACCTCCGTGTACTAGACGCAGAAGCCTAACAAAGTCCCTGAAACGTGGACCGGTGGGAAGAAAAGTCTCCTATCCCACGCATAATTCCCCGATTCTCACAACCGCCCTCAAAACGACCAGGCCCAACCACCAACCCGACTCGAAATACGCGCCCCCACCCCACGACAAGAACCCCTCTCACCGCGGAGGAGGCTTCCTTCAGACCGAGAAAGCCGAGACGCCACAACCTTTCAGCGGAATATGGAGAATTCTCGCCGCAGAAAAAACAATCCAGGATCGCCAACCCGGAAGTACGGGGTCACGAGGAAAAAACGGAAGTTCTACAAACCCCTTCCGCCAACAGTTGCCGCGGGAAGAAACGCTGGGATCAATGTGATAAATGATGGCCGCGCTATCCCCTCCGACTCTTTCTTCTCTCCCGGACTCGCTTCTCCTCCAGATTCTGGTCTGGCTGCCGCCGCGTGACCGAGTAGGCGTGGCCAGGTAAGTAGTCGGCTCCGCCTCGCGTTCTCCGTTTCCATGGGAATCCGCCTCCTCCTCCTCTCAACGTCAACTACGCTGTCCTGCTTTCGGGATAGGGTTGGCCGCATGCGTAGCGTTTGGTGAAACGCCGATTGATGTCTTCGTCCGGTCGCTGTGCCTGGGGCGCGAGGGCTAAACTCGTCACAGTGCGAAACGACGTATCAATGGAAACGCTTTGCGCAAGGGGCAGATAACTCCCGTGACATCCATGTAGGAATGCCTGGCGGGGTGTGATGGGGGGGACGGACAATCCGTCGGGGTCGTCTGGATCAATTCCTTTAAGGGAGATGAGCGTGTTTGGCTAACAAACTTTCTTTCCGCAGGGTCTGCAAACGGTGGCATCGTTTGGTGCGGGACAACTTCTTGTGGCGACACGTGGACCTCTCTTCTTGCAGGGTCAGGAATGCCTAACACCTACTAGGGCGCCTATATAAATTTAACAAACAAGTAGTTCTGAAAATAGGAGATAGATGTTGTGGGAAAGGCATGGGAAGGAACAAGGAAAATGGTCCAGGCCGGACGCTGTACAACAGATATACTTACAATTTAAAAGAGAGAGAGAAAAAGACATCTTTACAGTAATGTAATTTAGTAGAATTTCTGGCAAAACAAGTAGTATTTTAATTTGCCGAACATAGCATGCTTTATTACAAGCAATGTTCTATCTATTTTTTTTATTTTTTATTTATTTATTTTTATATCCCGCCCTTCTCCGGAGACTCAGGGCGGCTTACAATGCGTTAAGCAATAGCCTTCATACTTTTGCATATTTTATACAAAGTCATCTTATTGCCCCCACAAACCGGGTCCTCATTTTACCCACCTTAGAAAGGATGGAAGGCTGAGTCGACCTTGAGCCTGGTGAGAATTGAACTCACAGTAATTGCAGGCAGCTGGATGTTAAATGCTGCCTTAGTAGGAGGCATTAGCCTCCTACGCCACTCAGGCTCTATGATTTGATATAATTTTATTCTAGTTGTGATAAGAGATTAAGATGTATATTGACAGACGGCAAGGCTTAGCAGACAAAAAGTCTAACCCTGATCATGTTTAAAACTATACAATGCAGTAGTTTGTGCACAAGAGATTGAAATTGGCACAATTGCCAGGGAAACATTGCAACTGGAGTCCTATCTTTTAGCACATGCATCAATTTCACATGAATGTTCAAAAGTTTGCAATACAATGTATTTTCTGCCATTTTGACATCACACAGATGCCACTGATACAAGGTTTAAAACATCTGGAATACCTCCCACTTAAAATCAGGTTGATTTATGGGCCTTCTGGACACTTGAAAACTGAAGGATTCTAGAGGACCAGTGTTGAATGATATCTAGTGTATTTGTTTGATTTTATTAAATTTGATTTATTCATATTATTTGTATATTTGTTCCAACTGGGGATGTTTAAGTTTGGTTTATGCTTACTCTCAACTATTGGTAATTTGATGAGAATCTGTTTTAATTATGACAACATTGACAGGGCAGGCCACCATAATATAAACTGACAGCAAACTGCACTCCTTATTAGCACTGATGATGTTACCTAGTTTGGGTAATGAAAGAAAGAAGAAAACAAGCAAGCTCAGAGAGCACCAAGAACCCCTCAGATAAACTACAATTCTCAAAACGCATATTTATTTTAAAAGTTATACAAACTTTTTAAGGTTTAGACCAGGGCCAAACTCCCGGCCTAGAGGCTGGATGCGTCACACGCTGGCCACACCCATGCCCGGTTTAGTGAAGAAAAAACATTCCAATATGTCACGTGACGCTGCCGTGATGACATGAGTTTGATACCTCTGATTTAGACTAAACATTTGGGTGCTGTCTAACCTAATCCTATTTTAATCATCTATTTTAGAAATAAGATTCACTGAGCTATTTCATACCTGGTTTGTGGCCATAGGCTTGGAAATTAGATTTGTTTCTGTGCCAATTATAATTTTCAGTAATTATATGCATTCCAATATTTTTTCCAGTTGCCAATTCTATTGTTTTTCTTTTCCCTTTAGATATCCTCCAAAATCTTATGGCACCTTCTGCGGCACTATTTCCAAGGCAACTTGCGGACTCTGAAGCTACAGGGATCCCTCCACTCCTTTCGAAAACAAGAAATACTTACCTCAGCATTGCTGCAGGCTTTGGGCAAACAATGTCCCAAACTCCACCAATTGAGCTTGATGGAGCTAGACCTCCGTTCATTCCAGTATGGCTGTATGCCCTCCTCTCTTACCACCCTGGAGCTGAGAAGTTGTGAGATCCCTTTTGTTTGGTTCCAAGTGCCAGAGACCCCCTGCACTTTCCCAAGAATCCAACAACTTTCAATCTGGAATGTCCCTGCTTTTTCCAACCAGCACCTATTGAATATTGCCACCCAGGGCACTCTCAAAACTCTTATCCTTTCAGAAGTCTACCGTGTAACAGATGTGGGGATCGAGGCAGTAGCACCACATCTGAAAGACCTTCAGCACCTTGCCTTGTACCATTGTAGTGTTGGTGATTCAGCCATGCACTTCACTAGGCGCCATATGAAGCAACTGCACCATTTAGATCTCAGGAGCAATTCTTTGACAGATGTAGGTCTTCTTTGCTTAAGTGGTTTGCCAAATTTAGAGAGTCTTTGTTTGAGAAACTGCAGTCAACTTTCTCCAGAAACCATTTTAATTGTTTGCCAGTCACTCCCCAGCCTGAATCATCTTGATTTAAGCGGGATAGACTTTGAAGACAAAATATTCCAAAAGATCCAGTTGGGTTTGCCAAGCTGTACAGTGGCAAACACTATCCCTTGCGCAGATTCCAGTGCAATATCTTAGTAGATAGCAAATTTTCCCTATGCATGTTATTCACAGGTCAAAAGATGGCAGCACTCAGATACATCTCCTTAGCAGCTTTTTGTCCTTACAGCCCAAATGTTTGTAGCAGGCTAAAAATGAAATAGAACAGACCAAAGAAGTAAACCCATTTCAAATGCCATTAGTTTAACTGTTGTGCAAATGATATGTCCAGTGTTTGTACTGCAGATGTCCTGCGATGTTGACATAATTCAAGCATAAAGAATCCACTGTCTTTCAAATTTTTGATATACCTCTCAACTCCTACAGTTCCAGCAAATACAGTCAGCTATGAACCTTGATGGAAAAGGTATCGAAGAATACCAGGAGACTGCCAGGTTCTAAAGTATGACATTAAAAAGTGACTGGAGAGATTAAAAATTAAAATAATTTATGTACTGCAGGCATAAAATGTTATTAGACATACTGTGCCATTTTAAAAGCACTGCACAAATTTCTGGACATCTAATCTAGGACATAGTCTTTGTTCTGATTGAGTCCATTCCTCTTCCTGAGTAACTTAGAGTTGATATCTTTTTAACAAGCACAAAGGTTACATTTACAAAAGTGCATAATTTTCAAGGCTGACCACATTTTATTGTTTTTAAACACCAGCTTATTTGCTTGAAATCTGGCACAAGAAGTTTGGCTTTTTAAAAATAAATTATCTGAAGTTTGTATTCCACATTTTTTCCATGAACTCTGAAACTGATTAACTTTCAGACAGGACTTAAGTTATGGATATTCCATCAAATGCTCCATTGAAAAGTCTATGACCTGGTATCTCAAATGCATACAGAAGATTTGGGAGAGGGCTGCACAGCCCATTCCAAAAGTTGATGTGTGTAGTTAGGCTTAAAGTGACAGAATGGAAAAGCTATTAAATTCTTAGGGAATAATAGGGTATTGAACTATCTTTAAATTTAGGTTTAATTTCTGTTCTGGTTCCTTGGTTCCAATACTTTTTGGAATACTGTCTGGGCATTCTACCCAAAAGCCAAATGTGATCCTCAGATTGAAGGGAAAAAATCATCCTTGCATTATTTGACCTGAAATTAGAGGGAGCCATTGTTTCATATTATCCATATTTCTCATATTACCCATGGAATACCTTTTCCTTTCCCATCTTAACATCTCTGCTCCCAACCACCTTTGCAGCATTATAGTACTGATCCAGCTTCCCCATGTCACCTTGGTTTTCATTAGCATTACTACCAGTAGAGAATAGAAATGCCTTTGGCTGTTATGGACAATGCCTGGGACACATTGAACCATTCATAGAGATACCACCAAGACTTTGATTTTCTGCATTCCTTAACCCTCTCTTCCTATTAAAATGTATAAGTCGCTATAATCTTTTCCAACAATTTCATGAGCAGCTGATGGTACACTGCCCTGTCCTTGTAGCTGATGATGGGAAACTCAGGTATGGTAGATCTTCTTTCAAATTTCTTTTTGCACACATTAAATTCTGCCTTTATAAGCTTGTTGAACAGAATGATCCCCCTTCACATTAATTGAATCATGCCATTGTATTTGCCATGTCTTTGCCTTTTTCCATAGATTCTTTTTTTTCCCCCACTACTGATTGTTGAGTCACTATGGTGACTTAAAAAAATAAAGTCCTTCCAATTGAACTAGGCTCCTGGAGAGTTAATGAGCATGTTCAAATAGGTTGTTGGTTTTAGTTTTTGAAAACAATATGGAATTAGTTATGTCAGTGCCTTCTGGTATGTTTTCTCTGTTAACCAACCTAGCCTATAGTCCTGGATTTTCCTGGTAGTTTCCCAATCTAAATCTTAAATCAGGTGTGATTCTGCTTAGCTTTGGTGCTGCTACCTAGCTGAACCTCAATCCAAAGGTAAAGGTTCCCCTCGTACATATGTGCTAGTCATTCCCGACTCTAGGGGGCGGTGCTCATCTTCATTTCAAAGCTGAAGAGCCAGCGCTATCCAAAGACGTCTCCACGGTCATGTGGCCTGCATGACTAAACGCCAAAGGCGCACGGAACACTTACCTTCCCACTAAAGGTGGTCCCTATTTTTTCTACTTTCTACTTTTTTACATGCTTTCAAACTGCTAGGTTGGCAGAAGCTGGGACAAGTAACGGCAGTTTGCCCTACGTGGCAGTAGGGATTCGAACTGCTGAACTGCCAACCTTTCGATCAACAAGTTCAGCGTCTTAGCCACTGAGCCACCACATCCCTATGCCTCAATCCTACTTTTTCATAAAAAGTTATTGACCCCTTCTGATCATGTTTGTCACAATAATCTGCTCAGCTTCTGTATTCACCTGTAGCTTAATAAAATAAATTTTGGAAGAGAAACTAATTCTTTTTATTTACATTTATTGAGAATTTTACATACAATAAAAGTCAAATCTAAAGAAAAGACAGGTGAAAGAAAAAAATGTTATTAGATATAATGACTTCCGACCTCTTCAACAGATTTACAGTTCTATAGTCCTTTCCTCTTAGATGTTATACAAATCGCTTCAACCCCTGATTTTCCAGCAAGCCGGGCTGGCTTAAGAAGAAATTTTAAATGTTTTAATTGGTTTGTATTTTTAATTTTGGGCCAAATTTATATATATTTTAATTGTTTTTAATATTTGTATTTCATGTTTTTTAATTCTGGCTGTACACCGCCCTGAGTCCTCAGGGAGAAGGGCGGTATATAAATTTAAAATAAAATAAAAATAAAAATAAAATAAAAATTTAGTCCACATCTTTTTTAATCCTGAAATCATTTTTTTCTTTCAGCAAAAAGTTCATACAAGGTTTCCAGTCTGCTTAGGTAGATAAATACTGACATTGAAGTTCATTTGCCCATACAATTATTTTTCCATTTAGGATATATACTCTTTCATTATCAGGGACCCTCCACCATTGGGGTAAAAATATATGGTCAGCCTAAAATTTTAATGATCATTCTGGTCACATCAGACTACATTGCCTTTCTCTCAAAGGACGACCCAACAGGTCACAAGGTTATCTAGTATATAAGTTAAAGCATCAAATAACAGAAACAACGGAACAACATCTTTTACTGTAGCCTTCTTTCCTTTAGACCAGGGATGTCAAACTCAAGGCCCAGGGGCCAGATCTGGCCTGCGGAGTGCTTAGATCTGGGCAACGGACATGCCCTGGAAACAGCGAAGGACTGGCCCGTGATGCCTCTGCCAGCGAAAAGGGAGCTCAAGAGGGCCGGCCGCACACGGCCTTCCTGGGCTCCATTTTGGCCCATGACAGCTTCCTGCAAACCTCTGCCAGCAAAAATGGAGCTTTGGGAGGCCATATGCAGCCCTCCCAAGCTCCGTTTTTGCTGGCAGAGGACTGCAGGAGGCTGTCATGGCCCAAAATGGAACCCAGGCGGGCCACATATAGCCTCCCCAAGTTCCATTTTCACTGGCAGAGGGCTGCAGGAGGTCGTCACGGCCAAAAATGGAGCCTTGAGTGACATCAAGCTGGCCATGCCCACCCTCCCCATGCCCCCTCCCGGCCCCCCGAGGTCAAACACAACCCTGATGCAGCCCTTAATGAAATTGACTTTTACACCCCTACTTTAGACTCATGAGGTCTGTAATAGCATATTTACTATATGTCTCCTTGAAATGGAATCTTGCTGGTTCAAAACTTCGCAGAAAAAAATCATTACTATTCTTATTTCCTTAGCTTCCTGTCTTTTCCTGTGCTTTTTTAAAAATAAGTCTTAACAGCTCATTGTTTCATGATTTTCCCAATCACTTTTCCCAAAGCAGCGAGCAAAGCAATGACAGTCAATGAGGCTCCTCACTTGGCAAAGAGTGAGGCCTGGTTAATTGCAGCCAGCTACCTGCATGTAGTTTTATGTGGTTGCTTTGCCTTCAGTCTTCCTTGGAAACAACTGTTCAGAAGTCCAGCTTGTGACTTTTGTTCCTTTATTTATTTGTTCTTGAACCCTTAACTTTTGGACTGGCTGACTACTTGACAGTTTGATTCTTGGAAGGAATTTGTACCATTCTATTGCTTGAAATACAAATAGATTAATTCAGGCTAGCTCTCTTTGCACAGACCTTTATTTATGATCTTGTCCCCTGTTACCTCCTTAACTCCTTAGCAACTATCTGTGTGTGTCTGCAAAGGGAGACAGAACAATTATTTATTTATTTTATTTATTTTATTAGATTTTTATACCGCCCTTCTCCCACAGGACCCAGGGCGGTGAACAGCCAAGAATAAAAACATCGCATACAAAATTTAAAATTTTTAAAGAAAGAATTAAACAAATTTTGGCCCAATAATTTAAAACACCCCAACTAAAATCAAATTAACAATTAAAAATATCTAAGGGGGGAGGGGGTTAAGCCAGCCCGGCTTGATGAAATAAAAAAGTTTTAAGGGCACAGCAAAAAGCACGAGATCTGGGATCCTACGTATCTCCGGGGGCAGGTCGTTCCAGACGACAGGTGCTGCCACAGAGAAGGCCCTCCCCCTGGGGGGCGCCAGCCGACATTGTCTGGCCGACGGCACCCTGAGGAGTCCCTCTCTGTGGGAGCTTATTGGCTGGTGGGAGGCTATCGGCAGAAGCCGATCCTGTTAGAGATCATAGTAAGCATTGACTCCATTGACGGGGTGTTCCAGCCTTCTAAAGTGGTGAATGAACTGCCGGAGCAGGGTAGCCTTCAACAGATAAAAACATGCTATCAGAAATGGGCAGCCATTTTGGTAATGGGGTACTAATCACTGCAGATAAAATACAATGGTATTTCCTAACATGTAATTATATCTTCTTCCATTTCAGTTTAAGTATACAATGTCTTTAATGATGGAAGACACAAATAGAGATTAGGTAAAATTTAGAAAATATTAATGCACCTTGTGCATTTTTAAGTAAAGCAGTATTTAAATAAAATATTTATTCAACATATATTTAAAATATGGATATACACATTTTTTAATGACATGCCCTCTTGCTCCTGTGCTTGTTTATCTATTTTTAACAAAGACAAAATTAAACTGCTGGCTGAAAGAGAAAGGGGAATATCAGATCAAGAATTTCTGTATAAATTCATGTTCATAGTTTGAAGTTGAGATGGAAGAGAAATTAAGAAACTAATTACATTGGTTGTGATATGTGCAAATGGTTGTGATAGGTGAAAAT